TGTTCCAAAGGTACCTTGTGTGTGGGTAATTGTTACTAATGCCCTTACTGCTGTGTATTATTTGTATACTAAAGATAAACGGGACATATTTTGTCTTCACGTTGTCCTCTGTGCGATGCGCCGTGTCTACCCTTCCAGTAGTCTTCCGCGATCCATCCCGCAACTCAGCAGTAGATGAAGAGCCCACCATCAGCGATCTGTGATGACACAAAATATGAGAATGGTATAACGTCAACGAAGTAATTTGTTAATGCAAGCTTTTTTTTAATTCTTAAGCATTCATTTTACTAACAGCTCTACATTAACGTGATGAATAGTTTTGCTATATATCACATCAATTACACAAAATGATACGAGTACCCTAAGTTAAAGGCGGGGCGGGGGGGGGCGTTGGGGGGGGGGGGGGGGCTCAGCATACCATTTGCTCCAATTTACCTTACGATATTATATTTCATCTTCTCGATATCTTTCATTCAATATACATTTTAATTCATTGCCATAGCGAATTTTGTACTATAAATGAATATACATTTGTTGTTTTATTTTTCTTTATATCCGTCTATTTTATTGCCGTATCCGGAATTGTTTGTTACATTTTGAGTTCATAATAACAATTTTTTCTTTCTTATTTAGCGCTTTTCTCCACAAGACGTTGGCACATATCATTTCAGGCTTATTACCAAGTACCCATTTAATTCGCCTGAGTCGAATGTAGATTGATTTCTTGCCAAATTAAGGACATTTTTACCGTATCATGGCTCGATCCAACAACCTTAGCATCTCGGGTAAAAATGTTCAAACCGCGTCTATATTATAATATGCTACGATTATATACACTTAAAATATTGTATCAAACCATATTATGTTCATGAAAATGTATGATGAAAAAAAAAAAAAAAAAGATGCAGAAACCAATAAATCAAATCAAATCAAATCTCCAGTCAAATATGTTGATAATTCTAAAAACGTCTGGTTGGAGCAAAAAAGGGTGTTAACTATGCACTTAAAGGCATCGTTTAGTTAAATCTGAGATGCACGGCCCTACGTGTTATCAGTGTCTGTGATATAGTGTAATATTGAAGCCCTAAAGAAATTTTGCGTTTCAAAATGATCAAGAAGTGCCTCAAAAAAGTAAAATTCTTTGAGTGACCGGTTTTACCATACTTGTTTTTCCCAATAGACTGTTTCGTTATGAAAACCTTTAGGAAAATGCAAAAATTTAATTACGATTTCCAATCATAGGAATTTTGATACTCGGACAGGCGATCGGCTTGTAAAAGTCATGGGGTTCCTGACTGACCTAAAGGTTTATAATTATCATTGCAGCATGAGCTAAATCCAGGATTTTGTTTCAGAAATCTGAGACAAAGTTACGGGATGCCTTCAAGTATATGATTCAATGCCCTTCTAGCTCCACAGAGACGAACTATTAAAACATTTTGTCACTGCAGTCAATATTGTTACAAATACTTTGTTGAAATCAATCACAATTAATTTAGACGGATGCACGCCTTTAATTTCGCAAAATCTGTGAATACAACACTTTGAATATATGTAATTAATCAATGGCGACACTTATTTCAGTGATAGCCTAAAGGTCGCATCAGAGCGGAATAGAATGGATGGTATCGAGAGGAAACTCTGCCCTAGGACCAGGCATACACATATCCGCTATGAATACCATTATCATGTACTCTATGCAACTCGCTGTCCGAGGAGAGAGAAGGGGTAGAAGAGGAGAGGAGAAAGAGAGGAGATACAGAGCACGAGAAAGAGTGAGAGAGAGAGAGAGAGAGAGAGAAAAGAAAGGATGTTGAAAGGAAGAGAAAGAGAGAAAGAGAGAGAGAGAGAGAGAAAAGGGATGTTGAAAGGAAGAGAAATAGAAAAGAGAGAGAGAGAGAGAAGAAAGGATGTTGAAAGGAAGAGAAAGAGAGAGAGAGAGAGAGAGAAAAGGGATATTGAAAGGAAGAAAAATAAAAGAGAGAGAGGGAGAAAAGGGATGTTGAAAGGAAGAGAAATAGAAGAGAGGGAGAGAGAGAGAGAGAGAGAGAGAAAGAGAGAGAGAGAGAGAGATTCCCGCCCCGCTCGCAAATGTTCATACACACAACAATGTGCTATCAATCTCGACGCGAGACAATATACCCCGCGACAGAAGCGGCGTTTTTAACGCCACAATGGGCTGTAAATGGCGAGCGTCGAGATTGTATGGGATGATAAAAATCTATTTTCTACTCACTCCTCTCCCGACACTTTTTCTCCCCCTCAAAAAGCTGTCACACCGAATCGGCGTATGTTCCAAACCGTCCTGTCTTAGACGCTCATGTATTTTTTTTTTCACCGTTGTTTCAGAGAGTGGTGCGTATTACACATTACAAAAACACACATCCATCTTCCGTTTTTCCCCAAGACGGTTTACTATCCCCTCTACTTTTCTTTTTGTAAAGGGTTTAGCAAATTTGACATACGCTGACAGTCTGAGGATTAAGACGTGCGTTGAATGCGCTCATCAAAAGACCTCGGGAATTGGGGAAGGGGGTATAGCGAAAATCTGTGTGGAGTCGGCCAGAGTTATGAATATTACATGAACCTGGGGGTTCATTTTTATTGAGATAATGATGTTAAATGCAACCAGGTTAGAGAGCGTTCTCGAACGCTTTTAGGTGCTCGCAAGGGAATTCCCTTATTTCTGTTCTTACTGCGAATTAAGCCACTTTAAGGTGGTCGCACCTGATATACATTTTTGCTCCTAAATAAATCGATAGCTTTATACTAACTGTAAATGTATTTTTGTACTTTGACCTTTCAACAAGTTTTATTCCTGTCTATTTACCCTGGAAAGCGCGTCACCTTTAAAATCTAATACGTTCATGTTATTTATTGACATTTAGGAACGAAACATAAAAAAAAAAAATAAGGAAAAGATAAGAAAAGGAAAATGTAAAAGGTATTTGTAGTCATACGAAACAAGGCAATAACCGACAAATGGAATTATCATACAGTAAATGTTAGGAGGAACATCCAAAAAAAAAAAATAATGTTATGGAAATCCTATATGTACAGTTCGGTAGGGTAACGGCCTTCAAAATGAATATAGAATCAAGTTGTTATATTTATCATTCATTGAAGTTAATATCCAAGTTAATATCCAAATGTCCAAATAGCTAGTTGTTATTATGAAATCAAAAAAAATATTCCTTACTCTTTACGGCCACTTATTACTTTATTCGTTATCTTGTATTTGTTTTTGTATTTGTTGATTGATATTTCCATTTTGGTACTAGTTTTCCGTTAACCTTAGTCCGTGGGTTTCAAATGAAAAAAGAGCTTTTGAAATAAATAAGTTGATATGTATAAAATCCAGAGATGGAATGGAGATGGTTCTTGTCGTATATTCTAGAATTATGTAGTTAGATTTACTACACTATTTTAACTATCCATACGTACATGTACATGTGTAATACTTAAAATTCAGCTATGACATTGAAAACAAGACGTGAAAATGAAATGTTTTTCAAATGTATAAAGTTTTCTAAGATATACTCATTTCTTTTACATATCCAAACTAATACTTGGATCAACTGTTAATGCATACAATTCTAATAACGGATGCATAGAGTATGTGTTTACAATGTGTGTAAAAGTAAATTTCCATTATTCCATGTTCATTCTTTTCCTTTTCCAAGCAAAGGGATGCAATGGAGCGATGGGAAAAGAAAAAAAGAAGCAGCTGGGAGATGACATTTTAAATCACATCCAAATTGAAAAAGGAAATCCTTATGTCAAAAATGCAAAAAAATGATCAGAGTAACATTAAAGATATTGATGATTATTCATAATGATAACAGTACTAAGACTGGGAGAAGAATCTTGATACTAAAACAGGTATATAGGAACAAAATATATAGAAAAAAATATCAAGGGAAGAGAGGTGGAAAGAATAGAGAATTTAGAATATTAATATATATATATAATAAACCAAACAAAAGAAGAAGAAACAAGAAAAAAAAAAACTTTTGTTGAGAAATGAGATATCTAAAGTCTATTCAAATAAGTCGCCCAGAGGCGAAGGAAACAAAAAAGTAAATAAAAAAGAGCCAAAAGAAAAGAAGAAGAAACAAGGGGAAAAAAAATTGTTGAGAAACGAAAACCTAAAGTCCATTCAAAGGAGTCCCCAAGAGGCGAAGGAAACAAAAAAAGTAAATAAAAAAAAGAGAATAAAATAGAAAGTCAATTATGCATTCCTTTCTCCTCAATCATTCATTAATACGTCCCCCCGTCTTTCCTTTCTGCTGGTGATCTTCCCAAGCCGTGGAAGCAAGATGGAATCACCTGCTAAGACAGGAAGTATCGGATGTGGTCCAGGAACCTCTGTGTTTGGAGAGAACGAGGGGTAAACGTCTTACCCCCCTGGCCCCTCTGCATGAAGAGCAGATGATTTCTGGTTGGAGGAGATGGCAGATGCGATTGGAAGATACAGCAAGTAAGAGAGAGATTGGAGATTGGGTGGGGAGAGAGAGAGAGAGAGGGGGGGGGGGGGGGTTGTATAGAGATGAAAAAAATATTGATAAATAATAAAGAGGAAGGAAAGTAATGAAACTGAGAGAGAAAAAGAGAAAGAAAAAGAAATAGATGGATAAATGACAGACAAAGAGTGGTGTGGGGAGCAGAATAAGATATTTGAAGCATGTAAAGTATTGGTTTAGAAAGGAGGAAAGAAGAAGAAACAAAGAGAGAGAGAGAGAGAGAGAGATAACGAAAGAGGAGATTGGAGAAGGTAAGGGGTATTTAGAGAGTTATTGGCAGTAGCACATCCACAGCAGCGTGTGATAGTAGAAGATATGCCAATGTAAACGGAGGATAGGAAAAATCAATACAAAAACCAAATACACAAAAAGAAAGAAAGAGAAAATTCAATTCCTGATATAAAATGGGTTGAGAATGAAAATGGATCTAATTTACACACAGGTAACCACATGTTTTTAGTATTTCTTTTATAGTGGTATAGTGACCTATTAAATCAAAAAAAAATATTTGGGGTGAAACCTAAAAGGCATATCAAGCAATATTCATGGACCTCCTGAGAATGGATATTATAAAATCAATTTACTGTTTGTTGCATAAATTAAAATAAGTGATTGAAAATTAATTTCTTTCGAAATAATGCCTTTTATTTCATACAGTATCAGTAGATCGCTAGTCATACTGAATGAAATATGAGCGAGTAAGAAGAAGTAGATAACTCATCATTTACTTCAAAAACCATCTTGGAATGATTTTAATTTGATTTTTTATTCTCAAACGATATTTTAAATACATGGTCATGAATTTTACAAACTAATTATGAATCTAAAGTGTGTCAGGAGTGAGCTTATCAATGAATTTTGAGATAGAACGACTTCAATAAGGGAGTTTACAGATAGCACATGGTACAAATGACCCCAAATATACACAGATCCTTTACACATGGAGAAGTTCCACTTTGAGCATCTTAGAATAATAACTGCCAAGTCCTAGATGTGCTTCATGAATACCTTTTGTTTGCCCTCTTGAAAAGAATACTTCCACCTGCGTATCATAAAATGTACCGTTGGTGCATAAATGAACAATGTTACATAACTTTCATGAGCGCATATCCAGTATTCGTCTTTGTAGGTTTTATCTTTTTGGTACAAATCACCTTTATCTGCCCATGCGCAGATTGTATCTGTAAACTCCCTTATTGTAGGGAAATGCGGAAGAGAGTGTAATACGATTAAAGTGCACCAATGCTACTCAACGTGCCCTCTTGGTAAACTTTATCAAAAATTCAATTTTAGAATATGAGCATAAATCTGTATTTATGGCGTGATATCCTTCTGAATTTCACACGAAGTTTAGGTGATATTAACAAATTACCTACCCAGAAATTAACCGAGGATGGAAATATTGCCAATCACGTTCTTTTAGCATTTGTTGAAACATCCCATACGTATACGTGGATTCTTATTTTTTCGGATATAGAAAAAGAGGTAGTTAAAGGGGCAGCAAGACTTGTTCCAAAGAAGCACGGAAACACATGGAGGTATATCGTGGACTAGATCTTAAATTATATTGAAAATAACAAGATCGATAGATCAACATGCTTGAAGGATATAGAGCTAAAGAGGGAATATCGTCGAAAAGAGAAGGAAAGACAGATTCGAAGAAATAAGATGTATAAAGGAGACACTGTAGACTTGCAGTGGGTGGAAATTGGAAAGATGAACCAATTCCAAGAAGGGATAAATAGGACATGACAGTGAACATTTTCATATCTTGGGTGCGCGTGACAGGGCATGTAGAATGACGAATATCTACCAACATTGCTGGCGTGCGTCGCCCCATCGCCCCATCGCCCCGGGAAGTGAGCCGGCGATTTTTAGCGTGATGAATTGCAATGTATCTCGCACAATGGACGGAATATGAAGACGGGAGAGAAAACAGGAATAGAGAAAAGGACTAAAACTATGGCCGGTGTTCTCATTTTGTCGGTAACAATTGGAGAAGCTGTCGGCAATGTTTTGGCCCCGTGTCATAACGGGTTTCATGATATCCTCATCAGGGGTTAAGAGGGTAATTCCTTTTGAGGTCGGAGGTTTAATTTCTCCATGATTTTTGAAGGGTAGTTTAATTCATTGAAAAAGAGACTTGAGTGATTAGACGATAGATCTGCTACCGAACTAAAAGGTACAGAACATTACTATAAATACATAAGACTGTACAAATTCGTAAAAAAAAGAATGAAAAGGAAAAGGAAACGCACAATTTGAAGATGAAAATTGAGAAAGAAAGATGAAATCAAGGGGAAACTTAAAGTGACTCGGTAACATCGTTGAAGGTTGATAGGAAAACTTTGTCATTTTTGTAAGAAATGTTACTTATACAAATCCGGAACAAATTCACAAAGATATTTATGGTTTTCTTTGAAGGTGTCACTTTGCGACACCCTCTAAACAGTAAATTCTCCAAACCGTTTTTGAATTTTCCCAACCGTTTTTCCATGAAAAAGAGATAAGACAGGCTTTATAAAATATTTCAACTCCCTAATGTCTGGAATGGTATATAGAGCCAATGTATTGTTTTGTAACGATTTACATTCACCTAGAATGTAATAAAATTATAATAATATAGTTGGGAGAATTATGGAATCGATCAGATCAGTTTTTCCCAATTTTTATCATTAATAATGGTCTGTTTTCACTCAAACTTTCAGATTATCTTGAATTATACATCTAGCATTGAAGTCACTTCCTTAGCACCATTTTCTCTCATCTGATCGATGTTACCAAGTCCCTTTAAGGAGGAATCAAACAGACTGGGTAAGAGAAAGAGGGAAAAAAAGAAGAACGAGAGAGAGAGAGAGAGAGAGAGAGAGAGAGAGAGCATTGTATTTGGAGAAGTTATTTACATCTCATTTTGCAGTAATATATTATTTTCGCTAGTTATGATCAAACTTCCATATCAATTTTTGTGAAACAACTAAGGCTTTTCACGGAGTGTCTTTAAAAATAAAAATAATAGTATCAAAGAACTTTTTGTTTACATATTTTAAAGCATAAAACACTTTTTTTCCCTCGAACTCTCTTATGCTTTGATACTTAAACGTGTCGACACGTTCTGTACTATAGCGGTAATGAACCGCGCATGTCAGAATTAATGAAGCGTATAGCCATGCAACACATTAGGCTTCAATTTACACGCGTTTGATTAACGTGCAGCGGCGCTCCCCAAATGAAATTAATTATGTAGGCAGAAACAATGACCACTTGCCGTTAATTGAGACGCCGTTTCGGACACCGTTATCTATATCTGACGACACTGTTTGATTTGACCTTATTTCCAGGGAAAACAAAATTTATTGAAGCCTAGTCAGTTTTAATATTGTAGGTACTGAAGGAACAATGTTCTAAAACGATATCATATTTTGTTTGATTACAATTGAAATCGATTCATATCAAAATGAAAAAATAGGATATTTTTTTTCCTTTTTACGAATTGCTATCTGATGCCACTGTAAATTTATTTTTCACGTTTAAATATTCATTCTGATACCTCAGTTATCTTTAGATATGGAAACGGAATTTGCAGAGTCTCGAATAAGTCTTTAAATTCAGGAAATATGTGTTTTTCTGTATGACATATTATAATTCGAATCAGTTGTAATTAATAATTTTTAGATAGATAGATTTGAAATTTGAAAATAAATAGAGATAGAGGGTATCCGTTTTAGAGGGAATTTTTCTTTATTTTTTCTAGAGATCACTTTATATTTATTGGCATACTATATACTTTTGGTTGACTCTGTAAATAGAAAAAAATACTTACCCAGATAGGTTATGTGTAGAAAAGTGACATCTCCATAACGTGAACATACACCGAGGACCATGCGGGGCCAGCCGGGGGTAAAGCTTGCACTTCCAAGCGTTCTGGTTTACAGTAGCAGACCCTTGTATTGCTGGATGCTGAAAATGATATACGTATGAGTGTATGCACATATATTTTAATGATTTGGGACAGTAACCTGTAACTCATGTATGTTGAAGCAAGAAAGACAAAACCAAAAGAGGCAATTCATGCCAGTATAGGAAATTAATTGATTGAATGATCGATATTTCGTAAAGAGTTCACCATAATTTAAACATGTGCATTTCCAATAAGTATTCAAAATGGGAACATCAAAAATGTCCTTTCATCTCGGGCACATTACATTGTTAATAATATTGGTGATAATTGAGAAGGTGCCAATGATTTGGGAAGTAATAAGAGGTATATTGATAAAGGACATGTTTATATTTTTCATAATACAGCTGCTGCAATACAATATACAGCAAAGGATGAAATGTCACTAAGACTTTCAATATATATATATTAACGGAAGAAGCAGAAGGATAACATAATGAGGACGTTGTGTTTTTTATTTTTGTGTACCAAATATTCGACTTGAAATCTGCGTCTACTGATTATATTGTCATCTTAAGAATGTACACTCCTATTAATAACATTACAAACTGAATACATACCTGTACAACTCCTCTTAAATTGTTCATAGCCTAAGAGACAGCGCCTTGTATCCTTTGGAAAAGGCGCGATATAAATCCAAGTATTATTATTATTATTATTAAAGGCCACTCCTAAAATCTTTTCTCTCCCTATACCATTGTGGAATGGATACACTTAGGAATTTTGACTAAATTTTAAATTAATCACTCACGCTTGTCGTCAGTTATCGACGACGGTTGCAGAAGACGAAGAAAGATGGTGAGGAGACTGAGGAGGGCATCATGGTTAGCATGGTGATACACCATCCAGGAAGATTTTCAACTGCATAAAAAAACATGATTAGGGAAATGTTAAAGGCATCGTTTAACAATGTTAAATCTGAGATGCATGGCCCTACGTGTTACCCGTGTCTGTGATATGGTGTAATATTGAAGCTCTAAAAATTTTGCACTTCAAAATGATCATGAAGAATTTCAAAAAAGTTTTTAAAAATTTGAGTTACCGGTTTTATCATACTCATTTTCTACAATAGACTGAAGTATTAAAAACCGTTAGGAAAACGGTTTTTGAAATTTAGATTTCCAATCATAAATATCTTGATAATCAGACGAGCGATCGACTTGTAAAAGTCATGGAATTCCAGACTGACCTAAAACCTTTTTTTTTTTGGGGGGGGGGGGGGGGGGTGGTGATCTGTAAGGTACACAAATATTCTCCATGCAGTATCAGTAATTAATTTCATTCCCATATTTCCATGTATCTAAACACTGCCCCATTGTTGCATCAATAACCGTTAAAGTGCCTTAATTATGCGGTTTTGACTTCCCTTACTTTCGTTAATTTTACACTCTTGTATGGACTAGGACAAGAAATATGTCAGCTTTTCTTCATAAAATTTGAAATTTCTGTTTTCCATTGAATGGTATGATGTTTACATTAAAAAACAATGAGAAATGAGAACCCTTGACTGAAGACTTCAGTCTTGTTAACCAAGTAGGACTCTACATACAGTACGGATTAATGGAATACAAAATAATACAAATACGAAGAGAACTCGTTTAATATACAATTGGCGAAACCTAAAATTCATATGAACGTAAAACCATAAGCCAATAATTCAACACTCTTTGAAAATAATCTTCCTTAATAACAATATTTCGGACAACGTAACGCAAAAGTTCTCTACTCAATCAAAATGGACCATTGAAGTAATCTTACCTTTTGTCATGCGTGTTGTCCTTTTAAAAATAACATGAATAATATCTGACAAGGGAGTTTAGCATGTGAATCCATGCGATTAGGCATTACAATTTTTTTTAGATAGTTTTGATTTGAAGGCTGATGAGAACCTAACATGCCCGAGGTTAGATATACTAAAAATCGTGTAAATCTGTAATTTTCTACAGTGTATATTTCAGTGTGATATGAATAATCTCATTTCACCATTGTAGAGGATATTTTATTTGATTTCAGATTTAGTATGGACACTTCTTCTGTTTCTAACTCGAGGTAAACACGCTCCCGAGTAGGGTGATGATTTATCATTGCCACAATATCAAACTATTTGCATTTTAAAATTGCTATTTTCCCCCAACAACCAAACCAACCGCCCATCATCCATGTTAAAACTGAGCTTGTATTCATTATCTTTCAAATTGCCTTTCATCGCATCGCAAATTATTTGCCTACGTCAATTGCCAGGGCCTTTCAACGAACTATTGTCTGAATAGGTGCCTATTGCATCTCATTTACAATTTAATTTCCTCTCATAAATGGTGCAAATAGCATTGATAGTCCTGACTTCTATGATTTTGGTGTCTATTAAGCACTATGCAGTCGCGCTATTAATTTGTTTCATTCGGCGGGCTGCGCGTTTCTCTATTTCCAATTTCCGGATTTAATTTATCACACACGGGACTGTGTACCACGATTGAGTGATCGTCTGCGGTTTTGAATGTATTAGAGTGGAGAACCCAGGGTCGAAAAAATGGTGATATATTTCACCTCCAAAATCAATCGGTGCATATTTGTCCCGATTTTCTATCTTTCATTTCACCTCAAAACTGTGATTATGTATTTTTAAAAGAATATACTAAATAAACTACAATGTATAAATAACAGTGATATAGGCGAAAATGTCCAAAGACTAAATTTGATTTTCATCATTACTATTACCATTATCAGTATTATAATCATTATTTTTGTCATTGCTGCTTTAATATCTCCAATAATTTCTGTTTTCTCTCTTTATATTATTTAGTGTACAATGGCTCTTTACCATGGCTCTTTAGATAATCCCTTTACGGCCTTAATTTGCTAAAGGGACGAGGGTTTAATGTTTGAGGAATGCGAATCGTGATCAAATGACCAAATTAAAAACTAAACATTGCTGGCGCCAATCTGTAGCGTCTAATACCGATTCGTCTTGGAAATATCTGTGTTTCTTTATTTCTTAGTTGTTTTCTTTTGGCCAGTCCAGGCATTATGTCCTTTGGCAAGACATTGATCTACATTTGCCACACTCCACCCAGGTGAAGTAAATGGGTACCTGGTAGGAATTTATTCCTTGAAACGCAGCGCGCGTAACAGCTGCACTGCTAAAGCCAGGGTAATTATGCTGCATTATTGTAGAGCGATTAGAGACTTCTGACAAAGTAAGTGTTAGGCGCTATATAAGCACTGTAATTATTATTATTATTATGTCTTGCGTTAATTTGTAGGACCTATTTGCGCTCAACTATAGCTGTTTAATGCGAGTGCCCCTGGTCAATTAACATGGTTCATAATCGAATATGACAGAATATTTTTGATATATTTCTAATGATAGCATTATACAGCAATTTTCTTTATTATTATTTTTATCATCATTATCATATTTTGCAGCCTCCAATGATCACATTGTTAGCCCCCCTATCATTTGTATATCTACCTACCTTGAGAAATGTGTGTCATAATTAAGTTGATTTGGTCTTCCACATCGATTTGGACATCACTGCAAATTCCGATCGTAATGTTGACATCGTGAGGTAGATGAATGCTCTACAACATAACAAAATAGGTACTGAGAATAAGAGACAAAAAGCAGAGTAATAGTAAAAGAAAAAGATCGTGGCAGGCTATTGGTCTTTGAATGGTCTCATAGGAAATAGATTTAAAATCATTGCTATACAAATATAACTATGAATTATACAAAAGAGATTCGTAATAACATAGAACATTATGGGATCTCTTATCCTACGTATAAGGTTTATTCGAATCTGAATGACTTTCATATTTCATAACTATACAATTCTGACCCATAGTATTCATAAAAAAATAATACACACAATCACAGGTCAAAATATTTTTTTTAATTGGGGCTCATCTAATTTTGAAAATAAAATTCCTACCTTTAAGTTTAAGCAAACCATAAAAAACTAACTTTGATGTCAGCCTTACGTCATGGTACATCAAACTTAAAATGTTCTTTTTAATACACCACTTCTCCCCCTCCCCTTCATCCATTTATTAACAACAATTTTGACATGACTTTTGTTTTGGGTAGGATACAATTCAGCACTGGTTTGCCGAATCTCCGGAAACGTATTCATATCTCGTATTTCACCCTAATCCTTCCAACAAGCTTTCTTAATCCCGCCCAGCTGTCTGCGGGAGACGACCTCAAACAGACATACTAATCCTAAATCCACGAATCTCCAAAAGAGACAGAGAGAGAGAGAGAAAAAAAATGAATAAATAAACAGTAAAAACTGACATTTTGGCAAGATATCATTTTTTTAAAAGAGCTGCCCAGAAAATCAATGCCGATTGTATTTTGGGATGGCATCCTTTAAAACCAACAGTATACTAGTAATATATATGTCCCTATAAATGGAGAATGCCACTCCTTTGAAGATGCTTGAGGACTGATCGGCGACCCTAATGATGATGATGTTGATTATTATTATTTCTTTTTTCTTCTTATTATCATTTTTTCTTCTTTTGTTCGGCTTCTTCTCCTTATGATTATTTCTTCTCCTTCTTCCTATCATTATTATCATTACTTGTATTGTTGTTCATTATTAAAGCAGGACTGCACTACTAGTACCTACTTTCGCCCTCTATATAGCAAACAATGCCTACGCGGTACCCGTTAGTCCCCATGATCCCTTTTTTCTTATGTTAATTGAGAGCTGATTTGAAGAGATAACCACCTGTCAGTGACCACGCAGGGAGGTATAATCCCTCCTGGCCAAACTAGTGCAGACATGTTTTAATATAACATTACGCTTTCCAATTTTCGAGTGGGGGAAAGGTTCATAATAATTACGATCTACATACCATAAAAGCATTCCTTCAGTTATGAGGTAAAATAGAGTTAGGAGCTGAACCTGTATGCCCTGGACCTATTAACGCCAGGGAAATTACAACTATTGGTTGTAATAATCACCTGACTCTGTTTCCTGACACGCCAAGGGTGTAAAATAATCAGGAATCCATGGAAGTGTCAAGGTATAAAAACGTCCCATTCTCCACATATCCCCCACGCCCCAGGCTAAACCGATGACCATCTTCTTAGGTATTGTCATACTACCAGTTTTCGTGATAATTTAGCTGCGGTCATTTCGCAAATATAAAAGCAAATTATAAAAAGACGTGACCACCTGGCGATTAATTGAGAATGTAAGCGCAAAAGGAGTAAAATCCTTATTGGCCCACACGGGAGGTCCCAGGGGAGGGCATTGGTAACGAAATCGCTTTTCTTCTTGACAAATATATTGTATTCATTGTGTTTATGCACTATTAATTATACACTTAATTTGCTTGATAATTGTTTTTCAAAGTCATCCTTGCATTAAGAAACAAAATGGAAGGTTACGGGACAGTCACCAGTTATTATAGATCGATAAATACTAAGCCCTCGTGACCACGATAAAGTTGGTGTATCTTTATACAAATTGGCGCCATTTCTTTTGGTCCTCTATTCTATTACAAAGTCTTGTTTTTTATGTGATTTTAAGGATTACCCATGGCCTCTAAATTTAATTTTTATTTCTAAATTAGCCGTCAAAAATTTTGAATTCTATGACTGCATCGAATCAAACATTTTCCTCCTGATATCGTTATCCAGCTAATCAACCCTGTTATAGTGTTTCTTTATTAGCTATAATCATTAAAAAATCCAAAAGAACGAACTAGCTTCAGCATGTAAATAAACTTTTGCATTTTCTTTTTACAATTTATTTTGGCTGAAATGATTCTTTTTCATACGTAGTAACATATTTAGGTATATCGTTATGATACAAGAAAATAGGTCTTACATTTTGGCGG